GTGACGATGATGGTGATGGTAGTTATAGTCGTGATGATGATGGTGGTGTGGTGGTGATGGTGGTGATGTTGGCGATGGTGGTGATGGTGGTCGTGATGGTCGTCATGGTCGTGGTGATGGTGGTGATGATGGTGGTGATGGTGGTGACGATGATGGTGATGATGGTGGTGATGGTGGTCATGATGGTGGTGACGATGATGGTGATGGTGGTGATGATGGTGATGATAGTGATGATGGTGGTGACGATGATGGTGATGGTGGTGATGGTCGTGATGGTCGTGGTGATGGTGGTCATGATAGTGATGATGGTGGTGATGATGATGGTGATGGTGGTGATGGTCGTGATGGTCGTGGTGATGGTGGTGATGATAGTGATGATGGTGGTGATGATAGTGATGATGGTGGTGATGATGATGGTGGTGATGATGGTGGTCATGATGGTGGTGACGATGATGGTGGTAGTGGTGATGATGGTGATGATGGTGATGATAGTGATGATGGTGGTGACGATGATGGTGATGGTGGTGATGGACACAAAAGTGACTGGAGCGAAAGGGAAATAGCAAACGCAGGTTTTATTGACAACAAAAATAATTATTTATAATAAATACACCACATGTGAATATTTAAATAACGTAAACAAATTGCATATTCACTACCTGTAGACTCGTGTACAACAGAATTCACATTCACCCACTCACCCACTGACTCGCTCACCCACCCATTCACTCACCCACTCACTCACCCACTCACTCACCCACTCACTCACCCACTCACTCACCCACTCACTCGCTCACCCACTCACTCACCCACTCACTCAATCACCCACTCCCCCACCCACCCATTCACCCATCCACCAATCCACTCACTCACCCACCCACTCCCTCACTCACCCACCAACCCACGCACCAACCCACACACCAACCCACTCACCCACCCACTCCCCCACTCACCCACCCACTCACCCACCCACCAACCCACCCACTAACCCACCCACTCCCACACTCACCCACCCACCAACCCACCCACCCACTAACCCACTCACCCACCCACTCCCCCACCCACCCACTCACCCACTGCCCCACTCACCGACCCACCCACTCCCCCACTCACCCACCCACTCACCCACCCACCAACCCACCCACCGACTCCCCCACTCACCCACCCACCAACCCACCCACCCACCAACCCACCCACCCACCAACCCACCAACCCACCCACCCACTCCAACACTCACCCACCCACCAACCCACCAACCCACCCACCCACTCCCCCACTCACCAACCCACCAACCCACCCACCCACTCACCCACCCACCCACTCCCCCACTCACCCACCCACTCATCAACCCACCCACTCCCCCACTCACCTGCCCACCAACCCACCAACCCACTCACCCACCCACCCACCCACTCCCCCACCCACCCACCCACCAACCCACCAACCCACCCACTCACCCACCCACTCACCCACCTACCCACCAACCCATCCACCCACTACCCCACTCACCCACCCACTAACCCACCAACCCACCCACTGTCCCACTTACCCACCCACCCACCAACCCACCAACTCACCCACCCACTACCCCACTCTCCTACCCACCCAACAACCCACCAACGAACCCACCCACTCCCCCACCCACCCACTAACCCACCCACTCCCCCACTCACCCACCCACTCACCCACCCACCAACCCACCCACCAACCCACCCACCCACCAACCCACCCATCCACCCACCCACTCCCCCACCCACTCCTCCACCCACCCACCAACCCACCCACCCACTCACCCACCCACCCACTCCTCCACCCACCCACCCACCCACCCACCAACCCACCCACCCACCAACCCACCCATCTACCCACCCACTCCCCCACCTACCCACCCACCCACCAACCCACTCACCCACCCACTCCCCCACCCACCCACCCACCAACCCACCCACTCACCCACCCACTCCCCCACCCACCCACCAACCCACCCACTCACCCACCCACCAACCCACCCACTTACCCACCCACTCACCCACCCATCCACCCACCAACCCACCAACCCATCCACCCACTACCCCACTCACCCACCCACCCACCAACCCACCCACTCCCCCACCCACCCACCCCACAACCCACCCACCCACTACCCCACTCACCTACCCACCCAACAACCCACCAACCCACCCACCCACTCCCCCACCCACCCACCAACCCACTACCCCACTCACCTACCCACCCACTCACTCACCCACCCACCCACGCAGTCAGCCGTTGTGATTTCCGCTCACGTAAAATGCTCCAAGGTAAGCCATATCCGGGCAGAGCTGCACGGAAGGGCTCGTGGACCTGATCTTGACTAACAGCAAGTCTCCGGCCTTGAGGTTCACCAGAGCCTCCTCGTGGCCTGACACGCAGCTGGTGGGGCCATCCTGACACAAAGGGGGGGAGGGGGGGAGAGGTGGGGTAGAGACGGAGCCCAGTCAGTGACTCACTCAGCCACTCACTCAGCCACTCACTCACTCGCTCAGCCATTCACTCAGCCACTCACTCAGCCACTCAGCCACTCGCTCAGCCACTCAGCCATTCACTCAGCCACTCGCTCAGCCACTCACTCAGCCACTCAGCCACTCACTCAGCCATTCACTCAGCCACTCACTCAGCCATTCACTCAGCCACTCACTCAGCTATTCACTCAGCCACTCACTCAGCCACTCAGTCATTCACTCAGCCACTCACTCAGCCATTCGCTCAGCCACTCAGCCATTCACTCAGCCACTCACTCAGCTATTCACTCAGCCACTCACTCAGCCACTCAGTCATTCACTCAGCCACTCACTCAGCCATTCGCTCAGCCACTCAGCCATTCACTCAGCCACTCACTCAGCCATTCACTCAGCCACTCACTCAGCCACTCAGCCACTCACTCAGCCGCTCAGCCACTCAGCCACTCGCTCAGCCACTCGCTCAGCCACTCACTCAGCCACTCACTCAGACATTCACTCAGCCACTCACTCAGCCATTCACTCAGCCACTCACTCAGCCACTCAGCCACTCACTCAGCCGCTCAGCCACTCAGCCACTCGCTCAGCCACTCGCTCAGCCACTCACTCAGCCACTCACTCAGCCATTCACTCAGCCACTCACTCAGCCATTCACTCAGCCACTCACTCAGCCATTCACTCAGCAACTCACTCAGCCATTCACTCAGCCACTCACTCAGCCATTCACTCAGCCACTCACTCAGCCACTCACTCAGCCATTCACTCAGCCATTCACTCACCCACTCAGCCATTCACTCACTCACTCAGCCATTCACTCACCCACTCAGCCATTCACTCACCCACTCACTCAGCTATTCACTCACCCTCTCACTCAGCCATTCAGTCACTCACCCGGTTACTCACTCACTAAGTTACTCACTCACTCAGCCATTCACTCGGTTACTCACTCAGCCGTTCACTCACCTACTCAATCAGCCATTCAGTCACTCATCCGGTTACTTACTCACTAAGTCACTCACTCACTCATCCACCCACCCACTCACCCACCCACCCACCGACCCACTCACCCACCCACTCAACCATTCACCCACCCACTCATCCACCCACCCATTCACCCACCGATTCACCCACCCACCCATTCACCCACCCATTCACCCACCCACCCATTCACCCACCCATTCACCCAAGAGAGAGAGGGAGTGGAGTCGGACATTCGTAGAGGTGGGGTGGTGGTGATGTGAGGTGGGGTGGGGTTGGTGGGTGAGTTGGTAGGTGGATAGGTGAGTGGATGGTTGGTGGGTTGGTGGGTGGGTGAGTAGGTGGGTGAGTGGGTGAATGGGTAGGTGGGTGTGTGAGTGAGTGGGTGTGCGGGTGGATGAGTGCGTGGGTGAGTTAGTGGGTAGATGGGTTGAGTGAGCAGTTGAGTGGGTGAATGGGTAGATGAGTGGGTGGGTGAGTGAGTGAGTGGTTGAGTGGGTGTGTGGGTAGATGGGTGAGTGAGCAGTTGAGTGGGTGAATGGGTAGGTGTGTGAATGGGTAGGTGGGTGGGTGAGTGGTTGAGTGGGTGGTCGAGTCGGTGGGTAGGAGAGTTGGTGGGGTAGGTGAGTGAGTCAGTGCGTGGGTGGGTGAGTGGGTGGGTGAGTGAGCCAGTGAGTGAGCGGGCGAGTGAGTCAGTGAGTGAGTGGTTGAGTGGGTGATTGAGTCGGTGGGTAGGTGAGTGGGTGGGTGGCTGAGTGAGTCAGTGAGTGGGTGGGTGAGTGGGTGGGTGGCTGAGTGAGTCAGTGAGTGGGTGGGTGAGTGGGTGGGTAGATGGGTTGAGTGAGCAGTTGAGTGGGTGAATGGGTAGATGGGTGGGTGAGTGAGTGGTTGAGTGGGTGGGGTGGGTGGGTGAGTCAGTGAGCGGGCGGGCGGACGAGTGGATGGGTGGGGTGGCTGAGTGAGTCAGTGAGTGGGTGGGTGAGTCAGTGAGTGGGTGGGTGAGTGAGTGGTTGAGTGGGTGGTTGAGTCGGTGGGTAGGTGAGTGGGTGGGGTGGGTGGGGTGGGTGGGTGAGTCAGTGAGCGGGCGGGCGAGTGGGTGGGTGGGTGAGTGAGTGAGTGGTTGAGTGGGTGATTGAGTCGGTGGGTAGGTGAGTGGGTGGGGTGGCTGAGTGAGTGAGTGGGTGGGTGGGTGGGTGAGTCAGTGAACGGGCGCGTCAGGGTGTGCGTGTCGGGGAATCTCGACTTCCCGTGCCCTCCCCGTCACCTTCCACAGCAGGAGATCGTCGCTCTGCAGGACGTTTTGCTGCCGTTCCGGCGACTCACTGGGCCGCCGCATCACGGAGTACCCCACCACCGCCTCCACCCCCTTGTCATCTTCCTCCTCCTCCACCGCCTCCTCCTCCTCCTCCTCCTCCTCCTCCTCCGCCTCCTGCCGGAGTCGCCCAGACGACCGCTCCGGTTCCCGGGGCTGAGCTCGGGGCCCGGCACCGGTCCCCGCCTCCCTGCGGAGCCGCGCGGCCTCCCTCACGGCCGGTCCGGGCTTCCTCCTCGTCCCCGCCGGGCGTCCCGCGTCCCCGCCGGTCCCCGCAACGCCCCGCCCGGACGGTCCGGGCCGGGCCCTGACCCCCGCCCGCCTCCGTGACGATCCGGCCTCCCTCACGGCCTCGCCGGCGCTGCCCTCCGTTGCGTCGTCCCTCCGCAGGGGTCCGGGATCCCTCGCGGACGTCGCCCCCTCCTCCTCCTCCTCCTCCTCCTCAACCTCCTCCTCAACCTCCTCGGCCACCAACTCCTCGGCCACCTCCACCTGCTCCGCCTCCACCCGGCTCCCGAGCGCTCGGGCATGCCGCCCGAGTTTCCTCAGCGGCGGGCGGCTCCGGCGGCTTCCACGGCGAAGAGTCGGAGTCGGAGTCGCCGTCGGAGTCGTCGTCGGAGGATGAGGAGGAGGATGATGAGGAGGAGGAGGAGGAGGAGGATGAGGAGGAGGAGGAGGAGTTGGAGAAGTCGTTTGACCATCCTCTTCAACACGGTCCGGGGTCTGGAAGCAGACGCGGCTGTAGACGTAGTAAATGCCGTCCTGGTCGATCACAAGCCCGTCGAGTAGCGGCGGTTGCCCCGGCGACGGCGGTTGCCCCGGCGACGGCGGTTGCCCCGGCGACGGCGGTTGCCCCGGCGACGGCGGTTGCCCCGGCGACGGCGGTTGCCCCGGCGACGGAGGCGGCTCCTGCACCCGCGGGGATCTCATCGAGAGACTCCAGGGCACGGTGGCATAAAGGTGAGGGTGGTGAGGGTGAGCGGGGAGTGGAAACCTCTCCCCGTGGCTCCTCGTGAACCGCCTCCGGCCGCCGCCATCGCCGCCGTGATGGTGGTGAGCGCCCTGGTGAGTGCCCTGGTGAGTGCCCTGGTGAGTGCCCTGGTGAGGGTCTTGTTGAGGGTCCTGCTGGTCGTCCAATGCTGACTCAACAAACCACTGGATTTCTGGGGGTCCTGGCGGGACGCGGGGGAGAGGTCAGTCCGGTCAACTTTTTTTGTGTTTTGGAACAAATTTTAAACTTTTGGAATTGATAACTCCCCAGGTTTGTTTGTAATTATTATTATTATTAAGACAGTTCTGCTTTAGGCTCCACCACTTCCTGTCCATGCCCCACCCCTTTCTCTACAGACACCACCCCTTCCTGTGTATGCCCCACCCCTTCGTATATAGGCTCCACCCCTTCCACTACAGACACCACCCCTTCCTGTCCATGCCCCACCCATTTCTCTACAGACACCACCCCTTCCTGTGTATGCCCCACCCCTTCGTGTATAGGCTCCACCCCTTCCTGTCCATGCCCCCCACCCCTTCCTCTACAGACACCACCCCTTCCTGTGTATACCCCACCCCTTCGTATATAGGCTCCACCCCTTTCCTGTCCATGCCCCACCCCTTCCTCTACAGACACCACCCCTTCCTGTGTATACCCCACCCCTTCGTATATAGGCTCCACCCCTTTCCTGTCCATGCCCCGCCCCTTCCTCTACAGACACCACCCCTTCCTGTGTATGCCCCACCCCTTCGTATATAGGCTCCACCCCTTTCCTGTCCATGCCCCACCCCTTCCTCTACAGACACCACCCCTTCCTGTGTATACCCCACCCCTTCGTATATAGGCTCCACCCCTTTCCTGTCCATGCCCCACCCCTTCCTCTACAGACACCACCCCTTCCTGTGTATACCCCACCCCTTCGTATATAGGCTCCACCCCTTTCCTGTCCATGCCCCGCCCCTTCCTCTACAGACACCACCCCTTCCTGTGTATGCCCCACCCCTTCGTATTTAGGCTCCACCCCTTCCCGTCTATGCCCCGCCCCTTCCTCTACAGACACCACCCCTTCCTGTGTATGCCCCACCCCTTCGTATATAGGCTCCACCCCTTCCGGCGTGTGCCCCACCCCTTCGTATATAGGCTCCACCCCTTCCTGTCCATGCCCCACCCCTTCCTGTGTAATGGCGTGTGTACAACACTTTAATACTTTATTAACACTATTCATGTTTTGACTTAAAACGTTCGTGACTGCAGGAATTCCTATGCTTGGTTCTTTCGGTAAAGCCACCACGTGGACAGAAAATGAAAATGCTGTGTGTGTGTAATGCTGTGTGTGTAATGCTGTGTGTGTGTGTAATGCTGTGTGTGTGTAATGCTGTCTGTGTGTGTGTAATGCTGTGTGTGTAATGCTGTGTGTGTGTAATGATGTGTGTGTGTAATGCTGTCTGTGTGTGTGTAATGCTGTGTGTGTAATGCTGTGTGTGTGTAATGCTGTGTGTGTGTGTAATGCTGTGTCTGTGTGTAATGCTGTCTGTGTGTGTAATGCTGTGTGTGTAATGCTGTGTGTGTGTAATGATGTGTGTGTGTAATGCTGTCTGTGTGTGTGTAATGCTGTGTGTGTAATGCTGTGTGTGTGTAATGATGTGTGTGTGTAATGCTGTCTGTGTGTGTGTAATGCTGTGTGTGTAATGCTGTGTGTGTGTAATGCTGTGTGTGTGTGTAATGCTGTGTCTGTGTGTAATGCTGTCTGTGTGTGTAATGCTGTGTGTGTGTAATGCTGTGTGTGTGTAATGCTGTGTGTGTGTAATGCTGTGTGTGTGTGTAATGCTGTGTGTGTGTAATGTTGTGTGTCTGTGTGTGTGTAATGCTGTGTGTGTGTAATGCTGTGTGTGTGTGTAATGCTGTGTGTGTGTAATGTTGTGTGTCTGTGTGTGTGTAATGCTGTGTGTGTAATGCTGTGTGTGTAATGCTGTGTGTGTAATGTGTGTCTGTGTGTAATGCTGTGTGTGTGTAATGCTGTGTGTGTGTAATGCTGTGTGTGTGTGTGTAATGCAGTGTGTGTGTGTGTGTGTAATGCTGTGTGTGTAATGCTGTGTGTGTAATGCTGTGTGTGTGTGTAATGCTGTGTGTGTGTAATGCTGTGTGTGTGTGTGTAATGCAGTGTGTGTGTGTGTGTAATGCTGTGTGTGTAATGCTGTGTGTGTAATGCTGTGTGTGTGTGTAATGCTGTGTGTGTGTAATGCTGTGTGTGTGTAATGCTGTGTGTGTGTGTAATGCTGTGTGTGTAATGCTGTGTGTGTGTAATGCTGTGTGTGTGTGTGTAATGCTGTGTGTGTAATGCTGTGTGTGTGTGTAATGCTGTGTGTGTGTAATGCTGTGTGTGTGTAATGCTGTGTGTGTGTGTCTGTGTGTGTGTAATGCTGTGTGTGTGTAATGCTGTGTGTGTAATGCTGTGTGTGTGTACTGCTGTGTGTGTGTAATGCTGTGTGTGTGTAATGTGTGTGTGTAATGCTGTGTGTGTGTAATGTGTGTAATGTGTGTGTCTGTGTGTGTGTAATGCTGTGTGTATGTGTAATGCTGTGTGTGTGTGTAATGCTGTGTGTGTGTGTAATGCTGTGTGTGTGTAATGCTGTCTGTGTGTGTGTAATGATGTGTGTGTGTGTAATGCTGTGTGTGTGTGTGTAATGCTGTGTGTGTGTAATGCTGTGTGTGTGTAATGCTGTGTGTGTAATGCTGTGTGTGTGTGTAATGCTGTGTGTGTGTAATGCTGTGTGTGTGTAATGCTGTGTGTGTGTAATGCTGTGTGTGTGTGTCTGTGTGTGTGTGATGCTGTGTGTGTGTAATGCTGTGTGTGTAATGCTGTGTGTGTGTAATGCTGTGTGTGTGTAATGCTGTCTGTGTGTGTCTGTGTGTGTGTAATGCTGTGTGTGTAATGCTGTGTGTGTGTAATGCTGTGTGTGTAATGCTGTGTGTGTGTAATGTGTGTGTCTGTGTGTGTGTAATGCTGTGTGTATGTGTGTGTGTAATGCTGTGTGTGTGTGTGTAATGCTGTGTGTGTGTGTGTAATGCTGTGTGTGTGTAATGCTGTGTGTGTGTGTAATGCTGTGTGTGTGTAATGCTGTGTGTGTGTGTAATGCTGTGTGTAATGTTGTGTGTCTGTGTGTGTGTAATGCTGTGTGTGTGTAATGCTGTGTGTGTGTAATGCTGTGTGTGTGTCTGTGTGTGTGTAATGATGTGTGTGTGTGTAATGCTGTGTGTGTGTAATGCTGTGTGTGTGTGTAAAATGATGTGTGTGTGTGTGTGTGTAATGCTGTGTGTGTCTGTGTGTAATGCTGTGTGTGTGTGTAATGCTGTGTGTGTAATGCTGTGTGTGTGTAATGCTGTGTGTGTAATGCTGTGTGTGTGTGTAATGCTGTGTGTAATGCTGTGTGTGTGTAATGCTGTGTGTGTGTGTAATGCTGTCTGTGTGTGTCTGTGTGTGTGTAATGCTGTGTGTGTGTAATGCTGTGTGTGTGTGTAATGCTGTGTGTGTAATGCTGTGTGTGTGTGTAATGCTGTGTGTGTGTAATGTTGTGTGTCTGTGTGTGTGTAATGCTGTGTGTGTGTAATGCTGTGTGTGTGTGTAATGCTGTGTGTGTGTAATGCTGTGTGTAATGCTGCATGTGTGTCTGTGTGTAAGTGGTAGTGTAGTAGTGGTTAGCGCTACGCTGCGCTATGAACCTGGCGACCCGGGTTCGATTTCCGCTCACGGCCAACAACACCAGTGACGATTATCTGAACCGGTCCCGGGCCTCCCCTTGGTCGACTCAGCCTCAAATGAGTACCTGGTGCGGTGTGTAGTAAACATCGCCACTGGGGAGACAAAGGCGGTCGGGCGTGGTGCTGGCCACCCACCCCCTCGTGTACCGTTCCGGCCTTCATAGGTGCTGCTCGCTAACAGCACTTGCCCCTACAGTCTGTTAAGGCTATATGGGGGATCTTTGTCTTTGCGCGAGTGTAACGTGTGTGTGTCTGCGAAGCTGTGTGTGTGTGGTGTGTGTAAAGATGTTGTAAGCAGTGCCTTGCGGAAGAGGCCCCGGGGGGCCAGGCGTCTATGAAGTCTCCTGGGCAAACCCCAATTGGCGGAGCCAGGAGATTAAATACCTACCCTCGGGGCTACTCCAGAAACAACGAAAAACCACTACGAGTGGCCACGTGGAATGTTCGAACGCTCACTGCGGAGGAGAGGCTGCCACTCCTCTGTCGGGAGCTGGACCGGTACCGCCTGGATCTCTGTGGCGTTCAGGAGGTCCGGTGGACCGGCTCTGGCTCCTGCCACCATGAGGGGTGGACAGTCCTTTACTCGGGGCAGGACACTGCCAAACAACAGGGAGTGGCTCTTTATCTGAACAAAAGAATGAATGGGGCATGGGAGCGTGGCGGTGAGGTGTGGGAAGCTGTAAGCCCCAGGCTACTTTGGGCTCGCCTTCACATTAACCAGAGGCGAGGAGTTGTGGTCGTGGTTACTTATGCCCCCACAGAAGACGAACATCCATGGAGGGATGCAGGCAAGGCCGATGAGTCAGATGCCTTCTATTACCTCCTGTCACAGGTGCTGGCTAAAGTGGCCTCTCGGGATAGAGTCATCTTGTTGGGTGACTTCAATGCCCGAGTTGGTCATGATGCTGGCATCTGGTCTGGAGTGATTGGAGGACATGGGCCGGATCGCTCAATAACAACGGTAGGAGGCTGCTAGATGCAACCCATGGGCTTGTAATTACCAACACGCTGTTCCGGCATCGGCGCATCCACACAACATCATGAATGCATGCCGGGTCCAAGCAAGAACATCTGCTGGACTACATAGTGACGGACCAGCGGATGCAAGCCCATGTCCTTGACACCAGGACCGACCGTGGAGCTGATCTGCCCACTGACCATCGACTTGTCATCTGTAAGATGTGCCTGCCATTCTTCCACTCCGGTGGTGGGTGTACACCCAGGACCCCATTCCAACCTAAAGTGGCCTGGTCTCAGTTATCTGATGAAAGTTGCAAGCGAGAATTTCATCATCGCTTGCGGCTGGGGTTGGCATCGTCCCCCACTCCTCCTGATGTGGAGGGGAAATGGGCGAGGTTTAGGAATGTAGCTCATGTAGCTGCAATGGCTGCTTTGGGTACACGGTCTAGACCTCCCCAGAGACCCTGGCTGACAGAGGTGTTCAAGCTGGCTGAGAAAAAACGACAGGCCCACTCTCATCGGCTACAGCATCCCACGTCGTAGAATGAGGAGGCTTACCGAAGCCTTCGCTCGGAGGTTCGGAGAGCCGTGAGGTGCTGCAAGGATGGGTGGTGGTCGCGGGTTGCTCAGGAGATGGAGTCTGCCTCAATGGCCCGCGATCACAAATCGCCCTTTAATTCCATCAAAAAAATAACCTGCAGCGCCACACCTATTACAATCATTAAGGGAAAGAACGGTGATCCAATCTCTGACCCCCAGGAACAGGTTTCCAGATTGCCCGAGCATTTCTGTGAGGTTCCTGGGGGAGGGGAAATCCCTCAGCCTGGAAAACAATGTGGGACAAAGTGGGAATGACCCTGCTGAGGCTGCGGTGCCCCAAATATTTGAGGAAGACGTCACCCCCTGTGAGTGACTTGCTGAGGTGCCATCTGTTGAGGAAGTACTGAAGGAGATCCAGAGTCTGAGACCAGGAAAGGCACCGGGCAGTAAGGCTGGGCTCTGGGTTGTTCTTCATGCTTTCGGAGTCCCTGACCCTCTGCTCACAATCATTAAAGACCTTCATGACGGTGAGCAGGCCCGGGTAAAATTACATGGCCGGGAGTCAGAGCCATTCTCTGTACACCTTGGGGTGCGACAGGGATGTCCTCTGGCTCCCACATTATTTAACATCTATTTTGACCACGTAGTTCGTGAAGCCTTTAATAGCTGTACCGGGGGAATCTCCATATGGTTCAGATATAATGGGAGGCTGATCGATGCCCGGGTGCGATCAAGGGATGGCACCCTATTGCTCAACCACGTTATGTATGCTGATGATTTAGTAATAGCTGCTCAGTCAGAGGAGGAGTTGGAGATGCTGCTGCTGACACTGGAGCGTGCCACTAAGAGGTGGGGCCTTACCATCAGCCCCACCAAAACTAAGCACCTGCCTGGGTATTTTGTACCATCGGACACTCCACCCCCACAACTCCCAATCGGTGATGGGGCAGTTGTGGAGAGAGTGGAGAGTTTCCCATACCTGGGCAGTGTGCTTATGACTGGCTCCAGTTTAACAGCAGAGGTCTCACTCCGAATCAGTCGAGCGGCAATATCTTTTCATCGGTTGCGTAACGCTGTGTGGAAGCTACCTGGTCTGTCGCTCCGCACTAAGCTTCAGGTCTTCTCGGCCACGGTCATTCCCTCCCTTCTCTACGCTTGCGAAACATGGACCCCCCTAATGGAACATCTTCGCCGGTTAGAAACATTTAGGCTGGCCTGCCTACGATCCATCCTGGGTTTAACCAGACTGGATTGTGTGAGGAGCTCACAAATCCTTGACAGATCTGGGCAAGGTCCCATCGGTGAGCTCCTCCGGCGGGCAAGGCTGCGATGGCTGGGTCATGTAGCCCGCATGCCCAGCCACCGCATGCCGAAACAGCTTTTGTTCGGCCGGATCGAGGGGGCTAAGCGGGCGCGGCACGGGCTAGAGAAGAAATGGAGTGATGTGGTACAGGAGGACGTGGAGCTGAGTGGACTTGCCGATGACTGGTACCGGCGGTGTCAAGATCGGCTTCTGTGGAGGAGGTACGTGAAGGATGCTACTGGGCAGTTGGAGGTAGTCGCCCTCCAACAACAACGGAGGGCGGAGGAGCGACGCTCAGAACAACGAGCGGAGCGCCGGGTGGCTAAAGCACAGCGGGTTGGCACAGTAGGGGGCACAGGTGGTGCATCAGCCAGTGATCTCAGTCGACCCGTGGCACCTGGGTCTGCCCCGTGACCTCCTGCCAGCGGGCGTTCGACACTTCACGTGGCCTCAGGGTGCACATAGCCTGGCACAAGCATCGTGGTGATGTCACCACCACTTAGTGTTGTTGTTGTGTGTGTGTAATACTGTGTGTGTGTGGTGTGTGTATGGTGTGTGTGTGGTGTGTGTGTGTAACTGTGTGTGTGTGGTGTGTGTGTAACTGTGTGTGTGTGGTGTGCGTGTAGTGTGTGTGTAACTGTGTGTGTGGTGTGTGTGTAACTGTGTGTGTGTGGTGTGTGTACCTGTGTGTGTGTGGTGTGTGTGTAACTGTGTGTGGTGTGTGTGTAACTGTGTGTGTGGTGTGTGTGTGTAACTGTGTGTGTGTGTGGTGTGTGTGTAACTCTGTGTGTGTGTGGTGTGTGTGTGATGTGTGTGTGGTGTGTGTGTAACTGTGTGTGTGTGGTGTGTTGTGTGTGTAACTGTGTGTGTGGTGTGTGTGTGTGGTGTGTGCGTGTTGTGTGTGTGTGATGCATGTGTTGTGTGTGTAACTCTGTGTGTGTGGTGTGTGTGTGTGGTGTGTGTGTAACTGTGTGTGTGTGTGGTGTGTGTGTAACTGTGTGTGTGTGTGGTGTGTGTGGTGTGTGTGTAACTGTGTGTGTGGTGTGTGTGTGTAACTGTGTGTGTGTGTAACTGTGTGTATGTGTTGTGTGTGTAACTGTGTGTGTGGTGTGTGTGTGGTGTGTGTGTGTGGTGTGTGTGTGTGTGGTGTGTGTGTAACTGTGTGTGTGTAACTGTGTGTGTGTGATGTGTGTGTGTAACTGTGTGTACCTGTGTGTTGTGTGGTGTGTGTGTAACTGTGTGTGTGTGACTGTGTGTGTAACTGTGTGTGTTTGTAACTGTGTGTGTAACTGTGTGTGTAACTGTGTGTGTGTAACTGTGTGTGTGTAACTGTGTGTGTGTGTAACTGTGTGTAGTGTGTGTGTGTGGTGTGTGTGTGTAACTGTGTGTGTGTGTGGTGTGTGTATGTGGTGTGTGTGTAACTGTGTGTGTGTAACTGTGTGTGTGTGTAACTGTGTGTGTGGTGTGTGTGTGTGGTGTGTGTGTAACTGTGTGTGTGTGTAACTGTGTGTGTGTGTGTAACTGTGTGTGTGTGTAACTGTGTGTGTGTGGTGTGTGTAACTGTGTGTGTAACTGTGTGTGTAACTGTGTGTGTGTGTAACTGTGTGTGTAACTGTGTGTGTAACTGTGTGTGTGTAACTGTGTGTGTGTAACTGTGTGTGTGTAACTGTGTGTGTGTGGTGTGTGTAACTGTGTGTGTAACTGTGTGTGTGTAACTGTGTGTGTGTGTAACTGTGTGTGTAACTGTGTGTGTAACTGTGTGTGTGTAACTGTGTGTGTGTAACTGTGTGTGTAACTGTGTGTGTGTGTAACTGTGTGTAGTGTGTGTGTGGGGTGTGTGTGTAACTGTGTGTGTGTGGTGTGTGTATGTGGTGTGTGTGTAACTGTGTGTGTGTGTAACTGTGTGTGTGTAACTGTGTGTGTGTGTAACTGTGTGTGTGTGGTGTGTGTAACTGTGTGTGTGCACCTGGCTTGTCGAAAGGCAGGATGAGGTGAACGGCTCTGGGCTGAGTTTCCTCGTCAAAGGAGTTTTCATTTGCAGATTCTGATACAATCAACACACGCAGTTACACACACACACAGTTACACACACAGTTACACACACACAGTTACACACACAGTTACACACACTTAAACAATTACACACACACAGTTACACACACACAGTTACACACACACAGTTACACACACACAGTTACACACACTTAAACAATTATACACACACAGTTATACACACACAGTTACACACACACAGTTACACACACTTAAACAATTACACACACAGTTACACACACACAGTTACACACACACACACAGTTACACACACTTAAACAATTACAACAACAACAACCGCCATTCACCACTAAGTGGCGGTGACGTCACCATGACGCTTGTGCCAGGCTATGTGCACCTTGAGGCCACGTGAAGTGTTGAACGCCCGCTGGCAGGAGGTCACGGGGCAGACCCAGCAGGTGCCACGGGTCGACTGACTGAGATGACTGGCTGATGCACCACCTGTGCCCCCTATTGTACCAACTTGCTGTGCTTTAGCCACCCAGCGCTCCGCTCGTTGTTGTGAGCGTCGCTCCTCCGCCCTCCGTTGTTGTTGGAGGGTGACTACCTCCAACTGCCCAGTAGCGTCCTTCACGAGCCTCCTCCACAGAGGCCGATCTTGACACCGCTGGTACCAGTCATCGGCAAGTCCACTCAGCTCCACGTCCTCCTGTACCACATCACTCCATCTCTTCTCTAGCCCGTGCCGCGCCCGCTTAGCCCCCTCAATCCGGCCGAACAAAAGCTGTTTCGGCATGCGGTGGCTGGGCATGCAGGCTACATGACCCAGCCAACGCAGCCTTGCCTGCCGGAGGAGCTCACCGATGGGACCCTGCCCAGATCTTTTGAGGATTTGTGAGCCCCTCACACAATCCAGCCTGGTTAAACCCAGGATTGATCGTAGGCAGGCCATTCTAAATGTTTCTAACCATGCAGAGATGTTCCATTAGGGGGGTCCACGTTTCGCAATCGTAGAGAAGGGAGGGAATGACCGTGGCCGAGAAGACCTGAAGCTCCGTACGGAGCGACAGACCAGGTAGCTTCCACACAGCGTTACGCAACCTATGAAAAGATATTGCCACTCGACTGATTCGGAGTGAGACCTCTGCTGTTAAACTGGAGCCAGTCATAAGCACACTGCTCAGGTATGGGAAACTCTCCACTCTCTCCACAACTGCCCCATCACCGATTGGGAGTTGTGGGGGTGGAGTGTCCGATGGTACAAAATACCCAGGCAGGTGCTTAGTTTTGGTGGAGCTGATGGTAAGGCCCCACCTCTTAGTGGCACGCTCCAGTCTCAGCAGCAGCGTCTCCAACTCCTCCTCTGACTGAGCAGCTATTACCAAATCATCAGCATACATAACGTGGTTGACCAATAGGGAGCCATCCCTTGACCGCACCCGGGCATCGATCAGCCTCCCATTATATCTGTACCATATGGAGATTCCCCCGGTACAGCTATTGAAGGCTTCACGAACTACGTGGTCAAAATAGATGTATTATTACACACACACACCTACACACCTACACACATACAGACACAGCATTACATACAGACACACACAGCATTACACACACACCTACACACACACCTACGCATAGTGCACAGTGTATATGTACTACACACACCACACACACACAGACAAAGCTACCCCAGGTAGCCTCTAGCAGGGCTGTAGGGGCAAGTGCTGTTAGCTAGCGAGTAGCAGCAGCAGTGTCTATGTACTACACACACCACACACCGACAAAGCTCCCCCAGGTAGCCTCTAGCAGGGCTGTAGGGGCAAGTGCTGTTGGTAGCAGCAGCCTCGTTACATTTGCGGCCATGGGAACGTGGAATTTCCAACCGTCTACAGAACTGCACTGGAGGGAGGTGGGCGGTGTGGACCCCCCTCTAGGTCGACTCAGCCTCAACTCGCGACTCACCGAGTCTGCTGTTGGCAGGGCGGGGCTGCTGTGGAGGGGGTGGGGGGAGGGGCGGGGCGGGTGGGGGGAGGAGGGGCGGGGCGGAGAGGGGGAGGACAGACGCAAGGTCAGAGGTCGGCACGGCTCAGCATTTTCCCCTCTCCCACGCCCCTCCCCCCCGCTCCTCGCCCCGCCCATCCCAACGCCCCTCCCACCGCCCCTCCCACCACGCCTCTCCACGCCCCTCCCCCCGCCCCTCCCACCACCCCTCCCGACCCCCCCCCGCCCCTCCTCTCAACTTCGCCCCGCCCTCCCCCCGCTCCTCGCCCCGCCCATCCCAACGCCCCTCCCACCGCCCCCCCCCCACCACGCCTTTCCACGCCCCTCCCACCACCCCTCCCGACCTCCCCCCACCCGCCGTGACCTCTGACCTGGCTGCGGGCGAGCCCCCACCCGGCGGCGAGGGCGCAGCACGCGGTGAGGAGCAGCGCGAGGGCGAGTGACGTCACGAGGTTGCGGCGTGGGGGCGGGGCCGACTGCCCCACGCAAGGGGAGGGGCCCGCGGGGGGTAGGGACGCGGGGGAGGGGCCCGCGGGGGGTAGGCCCGAGCCACGTGACTCCTCCGTCATGGCGCCGGGGAAAACCTGCGGGGGTGGGAGGGAGGGGACCACGTAACGCACCGCGGGTTACCATGGTGACAGGAAGTTGGGGGGAGTAGGGGTTACCATGGTGACAGGAAGTTGGGGTAGGGGTTACCATGGTGACCGGAAGTGAGGGGAGGGAGAGTGGGGGTAAGGGTTGCCATGGTGACAGGAAGGGGGGTAGGGGTTACAATGGTGACCGGAAGTGAGGGGGAGGGGCTTGAGGGGTTACCATGGTGACAGTAAGTTACTAAGTGAGGATGTTACTAAGTGATGATGATGTTACTAAGTGAGGATGATGTTACTAAGTGAGGTTGATGTTACTAAGTGAGGATGATGTTACTAAGTGATGTTGATGTTACTAAGTGATGTTGATGTTACTAAGTGAGGATGATGTTACTAAGTGAGGATGATGTTACTAAGTGAGGATGATGTTACTAAGTGATGTTGATGTTACTAAGTGATGTTGATGTTACTAAGTGAGGATGATGTTACTAAGTGAGGTTGATGTTACTAAGTGATGTTGATGTTACTAAGTGAGGATGATGTTACTAAGTGAGGTTGATGTTACTAAGTGAGGATGATGTTACTAAGTGATGTTGATGTTACTAAGTGATGTTGATGTTACTAAGTGAGGATGATGTTACTAAGTGAGGATGATGTTACTAAGTGATGTTGATGTTACTAAGTGATGTTGATGTTACTAAGTGAGGATGATGTTACTAAGTGATGTTGATGTTACTAAGTGATGATGATGTTACTAAGTGATGATGATGTTACTAAGTGAGGATGATGTTACTAAGTGAGGATGATGTTACTAAGTGAGGATGATGTTACTAAGTGATGATGATGTTACTAAGTGATGTTGATGTTACTAAGTGAGGATGATGTTACTAAGTGATGTTGATGTTACTAAGTGATGATGATGTTACTAAGTGATGTTGATGTTACTAAGTGATGTTGATGTTACTAAGTGATGATGATGTTACTAAGTGATGATGATGTTACTAAGTGAGGATGATGTTACTAAGTGAGGATGATGTTACTAAGTGATGATGATGTTACTAAGTGATGTTGATGTTACTAAGTGAGGATGATGTTACTAAGTGAGGATGATGTTACTAAGTGAGGATGATGTTACTAAGTGATGATGATGTTACTAAGTGATGATGATGTTACTAAGTGAGGATGATGTTACTAAGTGAGGATGATGTTACTAAGTGAGGATGATGTTACTAAGTGAGGATGATGTTACTAAGTGATGTTGATGTTACTAAGTGATGATGATGTTACTAAGTGATGTTGATGATGTTACTAAGTGATGATGATGTTACTAAGTGATGATGATGTTACTAAGTGATGATGATGTTACTAAGTGAGGATGATGTTACTAAGTGAGGATGATATTACTAAGTGAGGATGATGTTACTGAGTGATGATGATGTTACTAAGTGAGGATGATGTTACTAAGTGATGTTGATGTTACTAAGTGAGGATGATGTTACTAAGTGATGATGATGTTACTAAGTGAGGATGATGTTACTAAGTGATGATGATGTTACTAAGTGAGGATGATGTTACTAAGTGATGTTGATGATGTTACTAAGTGAGGATGATGTTACTAAGTGAGGATGATGTTACTAAGTGATGATGATGTTACTAAGTGATGATGATGTTACTAAGTGATGATGATGTTACTAAGTGAGGATGATGTTACTAAGTGATGATGATGTTACTAAGTGAGGATGATGTTACTAAGTGAGGATGATGTTACTAAGTGATGATGATGTTACTAAGTGAGGATGATGTTACTAAGTGAGGATGATGTTACTAAGTGAGGATGATGTTACTAAGTGAGGATGATGTTACTAAGTGAGGATGATGTTACTAAGTGATGTTGATGTTACTAAGTGATGATGATGTTACTAAGTGAGGATGATGTTACTAAGTGATGATGATGTTACTAAGTGAGGATGATGTTACTAAATGAGGATGATGTTACTAAGTGAGGATGATGTTACTAAGTGAGGATGATGTTACTAAGTGATGTTGATGTTACTAAGTGATGATGATGTTACTAAGTGAGGATGATGTTACTAAGTGATGATGATGTTACTAAGTGAGGATGATGTTACTAAGTGATGATGATGTTACTAAGTGATGATGATGTTACTAAGTGATGATGATGTTACTAAGTGATGATGATGTTACTAAGTGAGGATGATGTTACTAAGTGAGGATGATGTTACTAAGTGAGGATGATGTTACTAAGTGATGATGATGTTACTAAGTGATGACGATGTTACTAAGTGAGGATGATGTTACTAAGTGATGTTGATGTTACTAAGTGATGATGATGTTACTAAGTGATGATGATGTTACTAAGTGATGTTGATGTTACTAAGTGAGGATGATGTTACTAAGTGAGGATGATGTTACTAAGTGAGGATGATGTTACTAAGTGAGGATGATGTTACTAATTGATGATGATGTTACTAAGTGATGTTGATGTTACTAAGTGAGGATGATGTTACTAAGTGAGGATGATGTTACTAAGTGAGGATGATGTTACTAATTGATGATGATGTTACTAAGTGATGTTGATGTTACTAAGTGAGGATGATGTTACTAAGTGATGATGATGTTACTAAGTGATGATGATGTTACTAAGTGAGGATGATGTTACTAAGTGAGGATGATGTTACTAAGTGATGATGATGTTACTAAGTGATGATGATGTTACTAAGTGATGATGATGTTACTAAGTGATGATGATGTTACTAAGTGAGGATGATGTTACTAAGTGATGTTGATGTTACTAAGTGAGGATGATGTTACTAAGTGATGATGATGTTACTAAGTGATGTTGATGTACTAAGTGATGATGTTACTATGTGAGAATGATGTTACTAAGTGATGTTGATGTTACTAAGTGATGATGATGTTACTAAGTGATGATGATGTTACTAAGTGAGGATGATGTTACTAAGTGATGTTGATGTTACTAAGTGATGATGATGTTACTAAGTGATGTTGATGTTACTAAGTGAGGATGATGTTACTAAGTGAGGATGATGTTACTAAGTGATGATGATGTTACTAAGTGATGATGATGTTACTAAGTGATGTTGATGTTACTAAGTGAGGATGATGTTACTAAGTGAGGATGATGTTACTAAGTGATGATGATGTTACTAAGTGAGGATGATGTTACTAAGTGATGATGATGTTACTAAGTGATGATGATGTTACTAAGTGATGATGATGTTACTAAGTGATGATGATGTTACTAAGTGAGGATGATGTTACTAAGTGAGGATGATGTTACTAAGTGATGTTGATGTTACTAAGTGATGTTGATGTTACTAAGTGATGATGTTACTAAGTGATGTTGATGTTACTAAGTGATGTTGATGATGTTACTAAGTGAGGATGATGTTACTAAGTGATGATGATGTTACTAAGTGATGTTGATGTTACTAAGTGAGGATGATGTTACTAAGTGATGATGATGTTACTAAGTGAGGATGATGTTACTAAGTGATGTTGATGTTACTAAGTGATGATGATGTTACTAAGTGATGATGATGTTACTAAGTGAGGATGATGTTACTAAGTGAGGATGATGTTACTAAGTGATGATGATGTTACTAAGTGATGTTGATGTTACTAAGTGATGTTGATGATGTTACTAAGTGAGGATGATGTTACTAAGTGATGTTGATGTTACTAAGTGATGATGTTGTTACTAAGTGAGGATGATGTTACTAAGTGATGATGATGTTACTAAGTGATGATGATGTTACTAAGTGAGGATGATGTTACTAAGTGAGGATGATGTTACTAAGTGATGATGATGTTACTAAGTGAGGATGATGTTACTAAGTGAGGATGATGTTACTAAGTGATGATGATGTTACTAAGTGATGTTGATGTTACTAAGTGATGTTGATGATGTTACTAAGTGAGGATGATGTTACTAATTGATGTTGATGTTACTAAGTGAGGATGATGTTACTAAGTGATGTTAATGTTACTAAGTGATGTTGATGTTACTAAGTGAGGATGATGTTACTAAGTGAGGATGATGTTACTAAGTGATGATGATGTTACTAAGTGAGGATGATGTTACTAAGTGATGATGATGTTACTAAGTGAGGATGATGTTACTAAGTGATGATGATGTTACTAAGTGAGGACGATGTTACTAAGTGAGGATGATGTTACTAAGTGATGATGATGTTACTAAGTGATGTTGATGTTACTAAGTGATAATGATGTTACTAAGTGATGTTGATGATGTTACTAAGTGATGATGATGTTACTAAGTGAGGATGATGTTTCTGAGTGTGTGTGTGCGCAGTGTGTATGTGTGTCTCTGTGTGTCTGTGTGTGTGTCTGTGTG